CCAAAACTTACCTATAAGAAGTGTGGGTCGAATAGAGAAAGATTATCTATTGAATATGGGCGAAAGATGGCAGTTGTTCTATCTGTTGGACAGAAGTTTCTTTATAAAACTTATGTGGAAAGTGTTTCTTATGACGAGATCCGTCTAACTTTAAATGTTAAAATTATTTAGGACTATCAGTATATGTATGATTTTATCTCAGCAGACCATTTTTCTGATCCGAGCGAGTGTTCTGAAACTAGAAAAAAATGGAATAAATACACAAGGTTATCTTCTGCAAAACTTATTTCTCAGTATACGCTGTTCAATAATTGTCACAGTGCAAATTTGGACACAGCAGAGAATATCTTGCAGTAGAACCTTTCTCAGCTACAAACTATTTTTCTAGATTGTACTAGAAAGCTACATATGATAATATTGTATTTATCAAGTTTTCTGTCAGAAAAGTGTGAAGATTGCAAGTGTTTTTTCACATCTAAAAATATGAGCTATGGTAAAAAGCGAGAAGCTCAATTAAGACCGATGCGAATCAATTAATCAAAACAGCTCTAACGGTGGTTCTGTAGAACGCACTTACCTCCCTTCCTCTCTAAAATATATCGCATCATTTGAAACAAAACTCTCGCACTTTTATTAGCACTAAAATATAGCATACATTCGGAGCTTTTGCAGCGTGAAGAAGATGTATTTTATCTGGAGCAAGGTAGGAGAATCAGTTTCGCTGGTCTTGGCCATTTTGAACTTAGAAAAAGCCTGTTTCATCTTCTTTTACAAAAGAACTTTTCGCAAGGATGATGAACAGAATCATCATCGAACTCAAAAAGTTGACCCAAATCAAACTGAGGACAAATGTATTTTCTATCAGACTGCGCTACCGCTCTTGAATCCAATGTCGACCTTCAATGTATTTCTTTTTCCTCTATTTTAGCTCATTCTTCTTCTGAATCGATGATCATGCAATTCATTCTCTCAACATTGGTAGTTTTTGCCTTAATTAACTCTCAATCAAATGCTGAATCGCTCGGTGAAAATATTCTTCGAGCACTCCAAGCTAATGCAGGTAATTACGCAACATCAAGAGCAATGCTGCCCTGGCAGCAAACATGTCATAATATGTTTAATCTATTCGCGTCAGCTCGTTCAATCGCCGAGATTACGGTTCAAGAGTTACTTCCATTACGTATACGTGTAAAAATTCAATTGGAAAATCCCGGTTCAGATAGAAGAGATTATTTCTATGTTGACGGACATGTTTGTCAAAATGGTTTTAATCAAGCAGCTGCTAATACAGTTTGCCGATCATTGGGAAAAGGATCAAATTCCGTATATTTGATGAATCGTCCTCTTGGTGATCAACCATTTGATCAGTGCCTCTTTCAATATGGTGCGGATAGAATCGTCATCCCTTGTACGTTTCTTATGGAACAATTCAATTGCACCGCAAACGCTAAGAACCTCGCAAATTGTCAACATACAAAAATGTTTGAGCATCAATGTGCTGGTGATATGTATGTTGGAGTTGTATGTTAGCTGAAGAACGCAGAAAGTGTGTGAATGATCTAAATTTTCTCCTGTTACTTAATTCAAAATTACAGCTTGCTGGTTTACAAAAAAGTTTTTAATTGTCTCTCACACTTTTGACATAATAAACCGTCGCTGTTTATTTAGAAATAAATAAACAATATTCCATAAATGATTTCTGTAAAAATTTGCTTTTCAAAGATTCAAAATGTACTAAAACTCTTGTGAAAGCGAAGAAAAGCGAGAGGATTTTGAAAACCACCAGAATAAATCCATAGGTTGTAGAATTCCTGAATGCGAAATAGTTCCAGCTTTTTTTTAAAATTTCAACATTCTTGACGCATTCTTCACTTCAACACACTCGCAAGTAGGAAGAAAAGTAATACGAAAAAGCTTCAGCATAAAGTAGATTGAGAAGTTAATACAGTAAATTTCGAAAAACAGTCGACGAAGAAAGCTCCCATCTGCTTTACGTTGATGTTCAAAATTTCAAACTTGGCAGATGAGTTTTTCAGAATATGTAAAAATAAAATGTTCAAATATATTGGAATTTATTGCATAATGATTAGAAATTGAAAAGAAACAAAAATATTTCAAGAGCGAACTCCCCGTCATCATTATAGGTTGTTCTTCTCATTCCACAAAAGATCTTCCACTTCTTGGACGTGATTGCAGTAGTGTTGAAGTTGATTCTCTAACTCTTGCTTTTATTTAGGTGTATCCACAAGTGATGTCGGAGATATCTCATTTCCTCATACAAAGGTCAAATCAATTCTACTCTCATACAACGATAGAGAAAACGAAGCTCTTTGTTAGGGTACTATTTCATCAGTATCCACCTAGTAT